GATCGGTATACCTGTCACTTCACTGTCATCGACACTATCACCTTCGTCATCATCATCAACATTTTCTTCGTACCAAGTTGTCGTTATTTTCCTCTCTGACACGGACATATTGTTTACATGGGAGTCGTCGCTGTCTGTAGCTCAAAGCCATTCGTCAGGCTGGTTGTAATACGAACCTCGGTCGCTATCCTTCAACTTTTTAGCAGCGTCTGAGTGCATCTTAACCTTGTTCTACTTTGGTCTGCAACGCTTTCTTCTAATCTTAATGGGAGTAGGATTTACTTGTTCCATACTAGACACAGTGGAATGAGTGAACTGAACCAAAGACACTAGTGTTTTTGAATGAACTCCGTCTTAATATGGAATAACCCCATTTCCTGTACTCACTCAAACAAAAGAGATGCAAATATCAAAATTACGAATGGTGGCAAATAAACATCGCATTATCTTGAACAAATCTTTGAAACTGATAGGCACACAGATTAAACTTGTGTTGTTGATTTTGGCAAACACTACTGAGGCTGCCCTGTTTCCCTTCAGGAAATATACATTTTAACCAACTTACATGATATTCTATGTTATGTTGACTTTGTCATATGAAAGTTTATAGTGCAGTTCGTCAATTAATAAAGAAATGTGAAAATCGTAATTTTCAACACAAATAACAGTCTCGCTACCTTAAATGGTGCATTTGCATTAGGATCTGATTGATATCCGATAAAATCCCATTGAGGAGTCAACAACAAAAAAAACAAACCGCAAAGTGATAAATTCAAGAAGAGACACGCGCAATGACAAAATGATAAGCCCCATATAAATAACTGGTGGCAACATATCTAAAAAATATCTACTTAAAGTCTGACACTAAAATACAGCTTCAACTCACTATTTATTTATTTATTTATTTATTTATTTATTTATTCTATTGAATTGGTTAGGTTAAAAGGAAGGGCTTTTATATTGTAGTTTCCTCGATAGTGGTGCAGATGATGTTGATGATAGATGTCTGATACTAATCTGTTTGCTATAACAGAACTTCGGAATATACTGATACAGTTTAAGATAAATCTTCCATGATGACATAGTTAGCAATTAATGGTATACCCCTAGCATAAATTATATTTGTTAACTCGAGGAAAAGGTCATTGACAATTCCCCCGTTTCCCTTATGCTCACATTATTGTCTGTTTTGTAGAGAAAATAATACGTCTTGTGCTGTTCATGTGAATGGATCAGCAAATGATGAAATATTTGAGCTAATAACCACCGGGGTACATATCGCACCCAAGATTGTATTGGTAAGTGAAACTCCAAGCATGCCTTATTGAAGGACTAGATTTATTTTGGATTTCAGTATACGTTTTACCCGAATAATAGTTTTAGAAGATATCAAACCACTTGTTAGTTTAAGTGTATGCATTTTATTAAGTCATATTTACCTTTTAAAGACTATTTGCAATGTGCTCTAATGTGACTGTGGTATAGTTTTGCGAACAAGCATTGAGCTATTTAAGCTGTATAGAGGTCAGAAATATTGAACGCATATATACTGTTGTGTTTAATCAACTTTGCATCATTGTCAAAATGTATCATATTACACATAGTTCTAATATACCGAAGTGATCCTTAAAACATTATGTCAGACTATACATAAAGTCAATGGGCGGTTAACACTGAATTTAGTTAAAACAAAATATATACACCGAAATAAATTTACCTCGTCTCTCGATTTGTAGTTGTACTTAGGTTGGTAAAACAATATTGTTGGCAAGATCATATAAGCGTACATATAATTAATTCTTCCACAAACTGGTGTTTGACATAAAATTATTTTCTGAATGTAATGCCATGACCCATCTCATTATGCGTTGAATTACGTTGAATTACGCCACCTTCGGTGATTGTCTAGTTGTCATATATACCATAATGTATTTTACGAGTTCCTATACTTTTCATTCAATTTTGTTAATAATGTTTGCATAAAATTGAATGCATTAGTCCATACATATCTTTAGTAAATAAACACTTCAATGACACATGTATGTCCCCGTAAAACACTTAGTGTTTTATTTTGAAAAAATGTATTTTTGTGTGTTTAAAATGTTCTTCATTTTTTGCAAAAAAATGTTTTAATAACAACTTCCCAAAACACTACTGCTTTGATAAAAAACACAGATGTTTTTTTTTTATATAATAAACCATTTTTTTATTACATCAATGTGCTTTCAATTACAACTGTGTGTTTTAATAAAAAAAACATGTGAATGCTTCCAAGAGTTACAGTGTAGCAGACAGTACGTAAATAATCACTAGTCAGTGTATGGATTACACTTTATATTCTGTAGACTGGTGATATAAAAGTCGTGAATAATCATGCCACGGTTTATGCTGATATGCTGCTGTGTGTCAATAGTTATGTTACTGTTCTGTCATGTAATTTTTCGATACATGATTTGTTATTTTGTGAATCGCTGCATTACTTTGCAACACTAATCATCAATTTTTACTCTATATTTTGTAACAGTTACTGATTACAACAATAAATGAGGCTAAAGAAAATACAGCCTAATGGTTTAGTTCAGTTTCGACGAATGCCATGCGGACTTGTGAGTGCACCAGCCTCTTTCTCCTGTATGATGCGTATTTTGATGGAAATTTAATTGATGACATTTTAATTTATTCAAAATCATGGATGGAGTATATACAGATTGCACAGGACGTTTTGTTTAAGGAAGGCAGGATTAACCGCAAGACCTTCAAAGTGTTACTTTGGTTTATTGGTCACAAGGTAGGTGACGGTACTGTAAAACATGTCTTTTTAGCTTTTTAGCTGTAAATTCGCTAATTCAAGATATAGTTAATTTAACAGAAATTATATTCTCACAGGAAGATAGTCGACACTTAAGACGCTAAATTAAGATTCTGTTAATTCATGCCAAGAGTCAAATCCGCTAAAACTGCATGCAGCTTATTGCAACATGTTCTACAGTATTTTGCAAGTATTGTCAGATAAAATAGAAGCCATACAGTCATTTTTAGGCATGGCTGGATACTATCGCAAATTTGTACCAAATTTGGCGACAATAATAGCAGCTCCCCTCAGAGAATTGAGCAGTAAAGGTCAGCCAAAACATGTAGTCTGGGGAGATTCCTAAGTACGCATCTTTAATCACTCAAAAGTACAAGACTAATATTAATGACAAATGCTTCACGTTAAATATTGATTTTGTAATATAGGCCATTTTCGATAGTCGAATAATGAATTCCGCGTGCAATACGACAACTTGATGACAACCGAAACTAAAAAACTGCTTTTGGGCAGACGGACATCTCTCGAATCCCGTAGCTGTTATACTTATTACATGTATATATATTACATATATGTCAAAGACGCAAATCATATATACGATGCATTTATACTAGTGACTATACAATCTATCAAATCTGTGGCGGTATTATGCATTTTGTGATTATGCGCGAATTAGCGAATTTACTAAATACAAATATTGCGTATCTTAAAATTGATATTACTGCAATTGATTGATTTCATATTCGTATTTGATAAACGTGCGATGAAGTAAAGCACAGTCCCTCTATAGATACTACAAGACAATGTACACATTCCGAGGACAATCCGCCTAGCAGTATTAAGTTATACATTTCACGTGCCCGGATAGAATAAGACATACCCCTTGTCTATACCACATTCAACAACCGGAATGCACGAACTCCCAAATCTCAACACAATGGTTTTTAAGACACGACAATGAAAACGACTATAATACAACGTCTACATCATCAACACCAAAACGAACACGTTGTTCTGCCACCCGCATGGTTGGTGCTTTTTAATTTGATGAAAAAAATATTTAGAAAAATCGGATATGAAAGATCACGTACACATTGAATGACCTTTGACTGAAATATTATAGTAGTTTATTTAACTAGGACGCACAAACTTTCTACAGTCTTGTTTGGTCCTACCCTATTTTGCGGAATTTAAAAAAACTGGCCTTAAAATCTCAAAATAAAACGTCTCATCGTGCATGCTGATTGTCGTCAGCGCCCAATGTAAGGGCGCCCTCATCGAGATACAACTACACCTTTGTTTTTAAGGTTATAGGGCGCAAAAAAACAGTGTGAATAGCGTCATTAGTCATGTATGAAGTGGGAAACCAGAGAACAACTTTGAAACGAAACTATTATAACATTCCGTAAACAATCTTTAAAACTTAAGGAATCGAATCGTGTCAGGGAGTCATGTGGATCTTAACATTTTGGTTTGAATATGACAAATCAACATCGTTTATGACATTCCCACCCATACATTATTTACACGTATTTTTATACAGTTTCATTCAATTTTAAACCCATACGAACTCTGCCATCACGATATTCATGCACTATATAGTCGGCGTCGGTGCCATATATTTGTCTATATTTATTTCCTGCCCATATACTTTGATTAGTCAATATGTAATTATAGAACTAAATTTGATAATCATGGCCTTCATTTCACCGATTATTAAGGGTTTTCTTATACGAAGGTTGTCCTTGGGATTATGATAAACACGGAATTAGGTAATCATATTAGTTTATATGGAAACGATAGAGGGCCTTTTCTGGAAAAGATAGCAACATGGTTGTGTAAAGAGGAACTTAATTGCACGGTTACTTGTTTCTCTCTACTTTATTAATTGATAAATATGACAAGTACATTTTATATCATGCGTACTACACTATTTTATTTCAATGTGTTTGTTATCAGTATAATGACATGTCCATGGTTAGCGATATATCAGCTTTAACGTCCTAGTTTACAGCTCTGTGTAAGAACAAATATTAAAATGTAAATAGGTCAAATCATGAAGATCATAATACTGCACAGATATATTGTAGATATATTATGATCGTCAAATTGTGTATGCTTCCAAAGTCAGAATTTCAGAATGGCTACTCACCAACAACAAGTAGTTAGGAACGGCCACCTCCTGTTCAGAGAAAGAAATAGTCTAAGTGTGTTAATAACACAAAATAACGTCAATTTGTGTGATCGTATACTATCACTCGTTTGAGTTTACTTTTCTATTATCTGTCAATTAACAACCTTTTGTGTTTGATCGGTGTGAATAATATATTAACCTCTTCCTCTGTTTACTCTCCTTTCTGTCTCTACAATTAAAAAAATATGCAACGTGAATTGGCAATGTTTTCGAAATGCTCAAGCAGTAAAGGGTAAGGTATGAGATATTTAATCTTAATTATTCTCGATCCTTATACGGTTGCGCAAATGGTCACGGATGTACTATCGTTTGTAATAAAATATTGATTTCGTGTTTTCTGTATACGTAGTACGATTCACTCCAAGCATGTAGATGTCAATAGAATATACACAATGTTGCTACAATTTACCATCTCCTGGTCTTCAGTCTTTCTTTTCTCCCGTTACAATTAAGCGAATATGCACCAAGCGTTAAATTGGATTGACAGTGTTTATTCTAACCACACATTATGACATTGAAACGATTAGAATGGTCGTATGTATTCTACTAGTATGTTGATATTATAGATAATTGTCATAAATCATTAAGCCTCATAGCATATTATTTTTACATGATTCAACATTTAGTTCTTCTACTGGTACAACATTTATGATGAGAGGTGCAAATGTAGTTTTGCAATATACATACATAACTGCACAAAATGATGTGAAATGTGAATAATATACATAATGCTATTGGGCTTAAGTACAATTACTTGATTTTACCTTTATCTGGTCCCAAATCTCTCGTTTCTGCCACTTCAATTAAGAAAATATGCACTCGCGTTAGAATGTAAAAGAAGATGTTTATTTAAACAAACTAGCTATACAATTTAAACGATAGAAAGGTCACCAATGTCCTGAGTATATTGGTTCGCAAATGTAAATCAAAGTAGATCACTGTGCGTCTAATAGTGTTTATACTTCTGTTAATTTACAATAATAACTAACAAGACAGAATAACAGCATTTGCTGACGCTTTTGACTCCCGGGTGCGAAAAACACAATAATGGTCTTTGCGGTTATTACATTAATTATCAGATTTATAGACATACATGTATTTTAATGAAACTTAGTAAATAAATGTTCTGGGTTAGTACTCAGACCTGGCTAAGTTTGGTTGAAATTTGTGCATATCAATTTGGTAATTTGCATGTTAATTAGCCGTTTCTAATCCGTTTAACTCTTTTATGTACTATTCAACTGATTTCAATGAAACTTTGGGCATATATATCAAAAATATCACCCAAGGGTGGCGATCTTGTTATCTCCGAGCATTGTTTGTACATGGATAAAGAAACTCAAAGACAAAGGCGGAGCCGTTTTTATATTAATGATCATAAAAACATTTCTTATTGTGTTGATGATAACATTGTCAATGTAAATTTCATCTGCTGGAATGTTAATGAGTTAGGTTGATATCACACTATTGGCTTCAACTATTGGTACTGAAATTTACCTTCTTTTGGTATGCCTTGATTTCTCTTCATTGGCTCTACAATATAGAAAATATGCAGCAAGTGTTAAATTGGTGTCTACGGTGTATAAACCACACTCGCTATACTCACATAATGATTGATGGATTGTATGTATCCTGCCAATATGCTGAGACAATAGATCATTGTCATAAATAACCATGGCATATCATCAGTGTGTCACATTACACGTATAATAAATAAAGCGCAGTGTCTTGTCATTCGTCAATTAAATTATTATATGTATAAAGATCATGATTTATATCGTGCATGATAGTGGTTTGATCTTATCATTCAATTGTCACATAATGTATGTAATAATTCGTCGCCGTGTGTCATATGACGCGATATAGATCTCGACCCTTCGCATACACGTAGACAAAAGAATATTGCGTCGAAATGATTAGTTTATATCACATGTCATTGCCATAAGCATCATAGTGTAGGAGTATTGTGTTTTCGCGATTGAAAAATCACATTACATGCACAATAATTAAAGCTTATGTCATCGCCGTTCGTCGTCAGATAAAGTTAGTTCTGATATATATAGTATATATATATATATTTATGTTTGTATTTTTTATAATAAATAATCGGGAAGCTGCAGTTTAAAATGAAACCAAAATATAAAAGAAATAGAGAATCAAGGACTTAAATAAATATATAAAAAAAATCATTTAGGCTATATTATATGTTTGTCAATTAGATAATGTCTTGTTTTTTTTTTCTATAATTGGTTAATTGTTGATATCATTTATTATTGGTGTGTATATTATATCTACAGTTTGTTAACATATTCTGTCTTTATATACTTCATCGGGTTTTAACATGCATCTGGCAGTTAAAACGAAAAACAAGGGCATTTTGTAACGAAATATATAGTCTGATGGTAATTGAATATTTTTCGAGAAAATACTAATTGAGCACAAGTTAGCTCATTTTTTTAAACAAAGAATACAGTTTTTATACTCACAATATGAGAAAAAAACAAACTCATATCTATCTCATCTTCATATGTCATAACACAGTTGTTAACAATCATCAACAAAATTCGTTGTTTTAATGGTGATCTCTCCGGAAATCTACGAAATTGTTTGTGTGTGTGTGTCAATCACTATTATTTGGTCCATAACATACATCTTTGTTTGCATAAGCAACAGACAAAACAATCAAACAAACGAAACTAACGCCAGCAAAAACTATTCTACGAATAATTTGATAACTGGATTATGCAAGGATTTATGGTGAATAGTATTATATGGTTTGTAATCAACAATTACTGAATACTAACCTCGAAAATGGCCACCACGTTGAGCCTATTTATATAAATATCAAGGTATGTAAAAGTAAGATTATCATTATTAACAACAATGTATTACAAGAAGGGTCACACAAATTAGATCGAGAAGATTTGATGTGAAGTAATTTTTTATGAATATAATGTCACGAAACTCACAATTGAAATTCTTCTGAGTAAAGTGTTATGTCACAATTATATTTAAATTTCTTCCATGAATGACAGATGAAAGTATTATATGTGTTTGGCAATTGTGAGGCGAACAATACAAACCGTACATAAATCAGTTTGATAAATTAGTTTAATTGTCTACATATGCATATTTGATGTTGGTAATTGGTGTAGAAATTTATATGCAACATGATCTATTTTATGGATTCATATTCATAAATAAACATTTTCGAAATTATCTAACAAATATTACATGCATTCATCGACCAATCAAGAGAATTATGTTCAATGCAAAGAAACACAAAGTGCATGTGAAATGAACATGCGTGTACATGCTAGTTCAAATTGACATGTCTGAAGTGTAGTTTGGGATATGTATAGAATGGTAGCCAAAGCATGTAAAGTTAACTGACAATGTCAATGACTGTAGTTTTTGTAACAGTTTGTTTTTGATTTAACACATAGGCAATAACTGCTAATTTCAATTTGGTTGGTATCTCAAGAATCAAATAAAAGTTAATGCTAGTTAGGTTGAGCGTGAAATGAAACATAGTAATATTTATTCTAAATTTAGCAGCAAGATTTCAGTGTAATTAGAAATACGGTTTGATACAGGACTGACTGAATTGACACCAAATTAAAATACGACCAGAAGGCGATACTGATAAATACACAGATGAAGACGATGACAATAAACCAGAATTGATATCCACAGCAGCTTTACTGTGTGTTACTCAAGACAAAACAACAATAAAAAATTACTACTACTGAATCTCAAAATAACATGAAAAGATTAAATGTTTTGCGGATGAAACTATGTGTCATTAATTACTTTAGATTGAGATTAAAAAATAAATTAAATAATTTCAAGAGGAGAAGAGAGAGAAAACCCGGATCCACCACATATAATTAAGTGATAGTTAACATTGTTTATAGTATGAAAATAATCATAAGAATAATAGAGTTTGACTCCCGAACTTTGATGGTGAGTGGCAGAAATCATATATCAGAAATATGGAAATATGACATGGTAGAATGCAATGAGCAAAACCACAAAGCATAGTCAATATGGTCCATGGACTAAAATAGGGAAAGATTATTATCAAACAATATAGCTGAAAAGCTTCTTGGCTTGTAGGGTACATCACCACAGTTCGTTAACCCAGAGAAGAACAACACCACACAATCATCCCACAAACTGTCTTGTATGTCATTTACCATTGTGGAGGAATTATAAGCAAGCGACTATACAAAGATGATGGGATAGACAAACGACGTATAATGTGATAATCGATACAATGTTTCAATGAATTTTGAAGACATTATTAGAACATCCAATATTGAATAAATTAATTAAATTAAGAGTCATCGCCACTGGAAGTGCAGTGATGCAACATGATGTATCAGTATCATTAACACATTAATATGATACATCAGAGGAAGCAGTTTTAGGCAGAATGTTTCTTCTTGGGACTGACATCATATTTTAGATATTATGACCCACAAATGATGTTATGATAACAGAGGTTTGAAGAGTTGACAAGATGATTAATTAACACCCAAATACTGGCATATAAAGATGAAGAGAGTGACATTCATGATTGGATAAATTGGATGATAGTTTCTGAGCTGCACTGATGATATTGATACTGATGAGTTCGTCATGCAATATATGCATATCAATTGATATATCAGAATGTAGTTATTAAAATGGCGTCATCATTCATCATCTTTGCAAAACAAAACATGGAGTCATTATTGACAAGAACATGCAATTAAAGCAGCACGTGTAAGTCAGCTAGTGTTGGTATTCATAAAATTGAGTATGATTTATAATGTCATTCATATGCAATGTGTAGTTTATATGTTACATAACTGTGTGTACTATAACATATATACAAATTATACCTTTATATCAGCGACCATAAGTAACACAACACATATTACCATTATTGCTTTATAGCTTGTCATCCTTCTGTCATAAAAATGAGAGATGTTCAATAAATTGTAGTTGTAATCAAATTGCTGTTGTCATGACGATACTATGGAGCGACGCCCTCAGTGGTGAAGTCCACATGCCGTCATGACAACGCATGCAAAGTATTAGGACTAATGGTTGAGCGATTAACATTCAGTGTCAATCGGGCTTATGGCGACGATTGAAGTTGTCATAAATATCTGTGTCACACGCAACGTAATATTACCGTAATTGGTATAGTACAGGTGTGATGGTTCAAATACCAAAATGGCAACAGTAACATAAAAACTTCCCTGGCGGCGATGATAACATACGAACACGGAGCCAACAGACGAGGTTTCAACTGGTACTGGTATTATTATACTCTGCAAACATCAAGTACAATAACTCGGTAAAACTCCAAACCTCCAATAACTAGATACTTAAACTCCAACACAATTCAACGAGATCTCCGATCTTATCTCAGTGCTGAACAACTCCCCTATATATACTCACACTGTCTATAAATAGACCATTACATCAGCATACATAATGAGTCTGGAACTTACT